TCAATTTCTTTTTCCATTGTCTTAGTAATGAAATTGCAATATTGTTTTGTATCAAATTCTGTATGATTAATCATAAATGGCCCATTGAATACACAATGTACCGTAACTGTCTCTGAATATTGTAAATCAGGTAACAACTAAATAGAAATAGATAGAGAATTATTAATCAGATATTCTTATACTTAGATATATAAATAATTAATATAGAATACCTTTGGTGTAAGTAAAAAATATTGAGAACTATTTAATCTTCCAGTCATTTTTACGAGCAAATTAAATACTCTTCTTTCATTTACTGCATCCATACCCTATAATAAAATTAAATATAAAAAAAAATAATAATTATATAAATTTCATTATAATACCTGATTAATTTCATCTACACAACGGAAAGGCACTTTTGATAATTCCTGAAGTGAAATCATATAAATAGCAGTAGTCACAGCTCTTTCTCCACCACTTTGATGATGTCGCGTTAATTCTTGTAATTGATCAGTATCTCTAAATTTTACTTTAATTTTTAGACCATATTGATCAAACTCCATCTAAATATTAAATTTTTTATAAATTTTTAAATAATAAATGTAATATCTTTTATATTTAATTTTATTTCAAAATAACTCACATTATTCTCTGGTTGCGCCAAAATAACTTCACCAGCACAACCCATTGCTGAGAAATACATACTAAAATTAGAATTAATTTTTTCAATGGTTTGTGACAAAGGTGTTAACCATTCTTTTCGTAATGTTTCTATGTTTTGTGTAATTGTTTCTAACTCATGCGTTTTTTTTTTAATGATATCTTTTAATTGATGTATATCTTGCTCTACTTGTTCATATTCATGTAATACCTGAAATTAAAATAGTTAATAATTACATTAGTTATTAATTATTTTTTTGACAAATTTATATTTATATGAAATTTTTCGAAATTCACATTTTCACCATCTATATTATTTCCCATACAGAATACTTTCGCTTGTGCAATGTTCAATTCATTATTAATCTCTTCTATAGTTGGCGGTAATTTATTAAATACTTTATTTATAGCCGCAAATGCATCATCTTGAGGGCTAATACCATCGGTAGTTTCTAGTGCTTCATTATATATTCTCTCAACTTCTTTTCTCAATGGTTGCAATTCAGAAATAAATTGTTTTATTTTATCTTCGGCTTCTTTAAGTTTTTCTCTCAAATCTTGAGAATCGTTTATTTTTACTCTTAAGGATTTATTATGTAATTTTAATGCTAATTCAGTTTCTTCACTGGCTGTAATGCATTTAAAACAATCTTCTAATTCAGTATTGTATGCCTTATAAATTTTTAATTGTTTATCCATAGTTATCTACAAAATTTATATAAATTTATATATTTTTTAATACGAAAAATAATTATTTAATATTTAATAGAACCTTTATTTCATTAGCAGAAGATTCTTGTATTTTTTCAATACTAGTTCGCTCATTTTGCAGATCTACAATTTTTTTTTGTATCATAGATATTCTAGATTTTAGAGTTTGTATTTGTTGGAAATCCTGCTGATATTTGTTTCTGTTAATCCTGTATTCATCTAATTCCTTATTTTGTTCATGTACTTGCTCATCAATTTGTTTAATTTTATTAAATACATTGCTTTTCCTTTCTTTTAATATTCTCAATCTAAAAAAAAATTTCAATAACAACACATTTAATTTACATTCTATTATGTTAAATTATTAACAAACTTTTCTTCAACGTTTAATAGTCTTGATTTATCTAATACAATAGATAACATTCCTGTACTTGATACTGGTTGCATTCCAATAGATTTTTCTCCCGTATATTTAGATCTATTTACCATATACATATTGTTTACTAAAAAATAAAATATCAAATATTATTAATTTTATTTATGCAAAATATCTGCTTAATGTTCATTTTTATCTTAATTTACTTACCACTAAAATAGTAACGTATACTATTAGGTATATGATCAATGTTATCATCAACTTGATTTGTTCCTACAGGTATGTTGTTTAGATTATACATAGTTACTAAATATTTCATTATGATATTCGGAGCTTCAATTAACGATACTAGATAATGGGTAAAACCAAATTGTTTAATATGGTGTAACGGAACTGCTGGATTCATGGAAACATTTCTCATAGGGTCAGAATGTACAACATTTACTTGTAATTTTTGCTCGTCTCTTAAGTAATGCAATAACATATTCATATCTCGTTTATTTTCACAGACAAATGCTATCAAATCCCTAAATGGAATAACATTTTCCAAATATCTTGCATATGAAGCATCTTTTACATTTATATTAAGCAATATCGGTTCGTGTACTGTACTAGAAAATTTATTTTGATTTTCTCTCAACCATTGTACTGCTCTATATGTATCAATACTTCTCTCCCTTAGTAATTCTAATCGTTTTGTTTCAATGTTAAGAACTTGTAACTCTGTTTCTTGAGCTGAAAATTTTATTTTATTATTAAAATAATAATAAAATACATATGAAAACAAAATAGTAAAAATAAAATAAATAATTCACCTCTAATTTCAAGACTTAAGCGTTCTTCTTCTTGTTTTAATCCTGAATTTTTATTTGTTAACATGTTAATTATGTTTCTCTTATTTTCTATATTGGATAATATTTCTTGTCGTTTTTTAATTAAATTTTCTTCTGTAAAACATAACATATTTTAAAAGTGTCATAATATATTGATTTAGATATAAATACAATTAAAATAAAACAAACCAGATCCAATATCTTTTAATATTAATAATAAATCGTTATCAAGTTTGTTTTTCTGTTGTTGTGCAATATCAATATCGTGATCTCGAGCTTCTTCCATTTGAATTCTATGCTTACACGTATTTTCATAATCTTTAATATTATTTTCACAATCTAGAATATCATCTATCATTTTTTTTAATTTTGTATTTTTAATCTTGATTTTATTATTCTAAAATTATAAGAATAAATTAGATTATATAATCATTAGATTATATAATTAATTACTATCTTACAACTCAAAATATGATCTTACATGATCTGAAACAGAATTTTGTAGCTGTCCAATTTCTGATTTTAGTTTTTCTATTGTATCATCAATAGGTTTTATGTCTTCTTCTAATGATTTTAATACAGATACTGCAGTTTCCTTTTTTTTTCTTAACTATAATAATTAGCAAAATATATGTAGTAATTAATTACAAAATTATTATAGGAAAATTATGATCATAACTATTATAATTTTTTATTTTTACCTTGAGCAATTCTCTACGTTTTTGATCATATAATATCCATGCTTTTTTTTGTTTTAAGCTAATAATTTTCTTCTTTATTAATTTCTTTTCTTTTATACTACTAACATTTTCTTTTAAACCTTCATATATTTGAGATTTTGCTTCTAATATTTTTTTCTTGCTATCAATCTGTTTTTCTAAATCTTTATGATCTATTCTATATTGTATTAAGTTTTTGTGATGTTCTAATATTATGGGATCACCAACTGATCTTTCTGTATTTTCTAATAATTCTTGTGCATTCATTTTTGAAAAATCTTGTACTTTATCTTGTGGGAGAAATTGACAAAGATTATCCACCTGAAATTCAAAATAAATTAGAAATAATGAAAAGATTAATTTAAATAAAAATCTTTTTTAAGTACTTGAATGTTAAAAGTTTTTATTAATTCTTGTATTTCTTTGATATTTGATGGTCTTTCATCAAGAAACCATAAAGATTTCCCATTTATATTAAATATTCTTTGAATAATAACATCACTTTTTTTGCCATTTTTGAGGTGAATTTCAACTTTTGCTTCCTCACACCCTCTTTTTACATAATCAGCGACATGAATGGCACGACCAATGGTACTAGGTTTACCTCCTAATCCAAGTACAATAGCACAAACAATTGTTGATTTACCAGTACCATTAGGACCAATAATAACATTCAAATTTCTCCCAGGTTTTATACAAACTTTATTATAAGTTCTGTAAAAATATAAGAAATTTTTCACATTTACCTTTCTTATTACAATTAAAAACTGAAAAAAATTAATTGATACTTACACAAAATTTTCTAAATAAATATAGGTAATTATACCTTTATCCATAATGCCACTTTAAATAAGTTAAATTAATTCATTGATGAGAAACTGAGATTATTTAAGTAATCATTATCAAATATTTATTATAATATTGAAATAATACAATTAGTAAATATAAATAAAATTAAAACGAAGAATTTTACTAATTTATTTATTTGTACTTTAGATTATATGATCCATTTTATATGGATGGATAGCATTCACATAACCTATTCAAAACAAATGCACTCCGTTTCAAGAAATATAGTATATATTTATATAGTGTGACTACTTTAAAGACATTCTGAATTATTTAAAAATAAATAAATTATATATAGAAATTTATTTAAAATGTTAAAAAAAATATGTAAATTTTTTGTTTAAATTTATAATGATTAATATATTATGCAATAATCTTATAAGATTATAATAGATATGAATAAAATTATAAAATTATCATGTTGTAATTATGTTATAATCGTTGTATATATGTAATTATTTTAATTATATTATAACTAATCTTATTAAATTTATTATTTATTAATTAAAATATATAGTTTTTTTTATTATTAATTTGTATCAATAATATTTATTTAATATTGCTCGAAATTTTCGAACAAATCATATAATTTTTTCTGGAATAAAAAAAAAATTTTATAACAAACTATATGCTGATAAAAAATATATCTAATAACAACAATAAGCACAGGAAGTTGATAAAATAAACGACGTACATATAGAGCAATGACGTCAAGAGATACGTTCTTAATTGAGAAAATAACGATAATATATAATTTAAATGAATTTTTTTACTCTTATTGTATTTTTCACAAATAATAAAAATATTATTATAAATCAATTTGTTAATAATTGTATACATTTAATAATTAAAGTTTTGTATCAAATATAAATTTCTAGAGAAGAGAAATGGATAAATAAATTTCATCGATTTAATCAAGATAATGTTCTTATTATTGCATTTTTTATGTTTTTTCTAATGTTACGAAACTCTTTTCGCTAATGGATTTTACTTTCTTTCGGTTTTAGATGTTCGATGTTAGATTCGCATAAAAATGATTAAATTCACTTATCGCATAATAAACTATGACATTCATAATTTTCTCACAATGCGAAATATCTTTTAGTGTAGAATACGATCTCGAAAGAAAATGTAATTTTCGTTCTTCAATGCAAAATAAAGTTTTGTTTTTTCAAAGTGAAATTTCGTGAAAAATTACTTAAAATTTGTGATATTGTTTTAATTTAAGCTCTTCAAATGATTCATCGATTAACAAAATGTAATAGAAAACGAGTTAAAAATTGTAAAAAACAATCATCGCCTCTACGCTTTGGAAATTATGCATCATTAATATATTATATTGCATTCATTAATCGTTTCATGGGTTTTTTACCTTACAAACTCGAATCGTCGAAATTTATGTACTCGAAATTACACTCCGTTTTCTCTACAATTGTAATTATCATTTATTTATTTCTCGCAATTATCTCCTTATATGAAATTAACTTTTATATTATAATATATGACGGAATACCTAGACTGTTACATCGTAATTCTATTGCGTTATTTGGTCCTGCAGTATTCATTTGTAGTTATATCTCAAATCGATCAACAGTTCAGGCGATTCAACGTGTTCAGCATGTTTCTTACGCACTATCTGCAGAAATTTTTAACAAATTGATCAAAATATTTCTTATAAAAGATATATTATTTTTTATGCCATTAGGACTTCTTGTACCATTTCTTATAATCAATCATGAATTTTGTGTTTTTCTTTTTATTTGTTGGTATTCATTTTTTGGACTTCTCATAATAAGTACTTTATACTTGAACAATGTGTACATATTAAATGCTTGTTTCAAATTTATAAATAATTCTTTAATAAAAATTAAGAAAATTCTAATCAACGATGAGCCTCATCTTCTCAGAAGAGAGTATCATATGAAAAAAAATCCCATTTTGCTTATGGAATTGAGGATTCTTAAGAAACAATATACGGAATTGATAGAAGTTGTTCAGTTATTAAATCATTCATATAGCTTGAAAAATGAAATGATATTATTGATGTTATTCTTCGATATTACGTTCAACTTATACATTTATCTAATATTATACAATACAGAAGTAGGCAAGATCACAAAGATAAACAGTACTCTTGGATTTGCAATTTTCTATGTCGTATATATTGTTATTTCTGTTTCAATCATTGAAATTATTAGAGTCCAAATGAAAAAAATTGGCTCAAATATTCATAAAATTCTCGTGAATACTTTTGATGATCAAATTATAACGGAGGTAAGATTATTTGATTTCCATTATATAGATTTTAATGGACGGATTCATCGATTTGATAATTTTAGTTGGAGTTATTTTCTTTAGAAGTGCTGCAAAAAGACAATATATTTGTGATGTTTGGACTCGAAATAGACTTGACTCTTGTGACAGAGGTAAGTAAAGAGAAAATTTTATCGAGGAAATCCATCAATTTTTTTTTCATCAATTCTATTTTATTTTATAGATGACATGCAAAATTACTACCTTTTTATTAATGTTGATACAATTTTTATTTGTTCCACCTTGTTAAAGAAAAATTTCGATCAATTATGTTAATGTGTATTGAAGAAATAATTGATTTGAATGAAAAACTGATTCATAAAAAATTTAGCTTTTTTGTAATAAAATTATATTATTTCCAATCATGTTAAAAGCATTTCCATTTTATGAAAAATAATCAATTTTGTATTATATATTTATAATTTTCATTATTGAATTGCATTTTTTCCTACTTTGGTAATCGAATATCATTATCCTAAGTGCTTCGTCTTAAAAACGATACTTGTTCGTGAGGAATACTATTCCATTTATATGAATAGATAACTTTTATACGTAACATTTTCGAAATCTAATTCACGATTTGATATTTACAATAATATTTGAATAAGTAATGTGGCTCGAAAAATTGAAAAAGCATAAAATATGGAAAATATTTAACGCGACAGATTTTAATTCATTGATGTTTCCTTGTTTCTTTATATGTGGAATAATTGGATATTTTCCTTACAAATGGAAACGTCCAGTATATTTATTTTCGAAAACTCGTTTCGTTATTAGTATATTTATACTAATACTTTCCATTTTTATATGGTTTAACTTGTTTTACCAACTGAATTTTACTAATATAATAAAAAAAAACACAGTAGAAGTAATTCATGAGAACATGTACGCGCTTTTGGTTGGAATTGGTATTATAACGATGCATATTTTATCCGGTACACGATTATACATGATTCAAAACTTATTAAAGATTTCTTCCATATTATCTGAAAAAGATTTCAACGATTTAGCGAGACGGATTCACAAAAAGGACATTCTTGGTTTCTTATACATCCTTATTCATTTACCAAATTGTTTCAAGAGCAACATCCATGTGACTCTACGAAATGTTACACATCTGTATATATTATTGATTAATTTTTCAGTAGATATGTTTTACATAAACTGTGTCTGGGTATTAAAAGTTTGTTTTAAAAAATTGAATAAATCAATTCATGAATTAAAAAAGTTTCAATTCGACAATGATCCACGAGTAGAGACAATTGTGCACCATGGGCAGAAAAATTCTTTGTTGCTAATAAAATTAAAGCGTTTAGAGGAAAAACATTTAGAGATCAGCGATGTCGTTGAATTGGTGAACGATACATTTATGATACATATTATAGTTTTGGTTATCACGACGTTTACCACAATCACTTTCAATCTGTATTTCTTCTTACTTAAAATATATTCACCTGAAACTGAAAACATTAAGTTTTGGTTCATACCGAATATTGCTCCAGCATTTTATTTTTTCATTAAATTTGCGATGATAATTTGGATCTGCGAGTCAACAACGAACGAGGCGAAGAAGATTAAATGGACCCTTTATGATACTTTTAGCGATACGACTGATCCAATGGTGAGACGCGAGGTAAGAATTTATATATATATCAGTGATATATCGTGGATCTATTATTAAGATCAATTATAATCGACATCAATAAAGATCTAAGACTACTTCTAAGAATTTTAAGAAACAATATTTATTTTCCTTAAATGATGTTTTTATTATTAAATTGTATTAATTATAAAATTACAGGTACACCTTTTTTCTTTGCAAATAATGCACAGGAATAACAAATTCACAGCAAAAACATTCGATATGAACAGTGTGCTGTTGGGACAGGTAAAATGAACATCAGTTATAAAAGATCAATTTATTAAACGCAATATCAAAATCATACGTATTTTTGTAGATTGCGAAGGGAATTCTAATATACATTTTGATTTTGTTTCAATTTTTATTAAATTATCGTCTGTGTTCTTAATCGAAAGAGCAAGATGTTCGAAAGAACGTTATTCTGGGTAATATGTGTGTTCTTTTCATCGATCTTTTGGCAATTTTCTCAAATACAAAATAGTATTATCTGTAATAATTTTTAAATGCACTGAATTATTTATATATATTATTTATAAGCAATAACATGCGTATATATAATGTCAATAAATTTATCAATATGAATTAGAAATATTTTTTTTGAATAAACTAGTTGAGAATTTCTTTTTAAACATTTTATATATAAATTTTTCATATTTATCGAACACTATAATTAAAATTTAATCTTACCCTTTTGAATTCGTTATTATAGATAGATAGAAGAATATTCGAGATTTGATCTCAGCTCAAAAATGGAAATACAATGGATAATCATTATGGAAACGATAAAAACATTTCAGTAATATTAAAATATCAACGATATGAGCGTTCTCAATCTAAATGTCTCTAAATTTATTTTTGACGTTTGCTTCTGACAATGGATCGTTTGAACGAATTTTCACTCATTCAAGTTTCACTCATTCACTCGTCCAATTTTAAGCAAATCATCTGTTATCATTGCAACAAAATGATCGATAATTGCACTCGTGATAAAGGATTGCAATCTATGGAAATTAGAATTATTTTTCTTTCGTTTCTTTCAATTCGTCTATACAGAATAAATAATTATAATTGGATATTTCATTTCGTTGTTTTTCATTTTGCAACCGCGCGTGTAAATGTTAAAATATCTTGTTTTCGTGGTCGAGGTTCATGGCGCGGATGATTTCAATTTTAATCATAAAAGAACAAGGAACGCGGTGATTTCTCGAAGGAGAAATCAGAAATGTCATTCTTATTTGTTGTATGGGGTGGAGTCGAATCAATCTATTCTTCTCAAGGTTAATGTCGAGATCAGAGATAATGCACAGAGGTAGTAAGAGTTATTTTCTGTTAAATACTATCACGTATCGACGACATTAATACCGCGAAATATGTTTGCGATGATAATTCAACGTTGTTATTCTACGCTAAGAATTCTCGCGTCGAGTTAAACGGATCACCCAAACGTACCTCCTTTTATAAAATGCATAACAAAAAAATATTGGATGTCAAGAAATAAAGTTTTTATATTTTCTCTATTTAGATATTATTATTAAATTCATGGTATAACGGAAAGTTTTGTAAAAAATACGAATACTTGAAAATCTAAATCTTTGTTTTTATAAGATATTTAAACGCTTTGTATATCGTAAGATTTTGATATCGAAGGTCATTATAAAATCAGATCGTTTGAATAAATTAATAACACTTATTTTGAGATGCAAAAGTTGAAAAAAATATATTAAAAGAGTATTGAACGATCTTCAAAAAGTGAAAATAAAACGATTTAAGAAAAATATTTTCAAAGTCATTTAATTTTAAAAGTCTTTATCATTAGAAAATAAAGAGAATACAAAAGTATTCGAGAATTATTATTTCTTTAATAATGAACGAGATATATCTATGTCTACCGGTATAACGCGAATTCATTCTGTTTATTTTCCAATCGTAGCTCCACCCTTTCACCCTTTCACCCGGATCGAACAGCATAAGTTGCACAAACAACACGTGATGAACTCTTCAAATTTACCATTCCATACTTTACCACTCGTTATGAAAACAATCGATGAAACGCAAAAAAAACGCGTCTTCTCTCGATTCATCATCAACTTTCATAAATCACGGCTAAAGATAAATGCATTAGCTTAGCCAAACACTTTCACCCATCAACAATAACTACGCAAAAAAGTTTGCCAATATTCCCAAGTAAACTCTCAACGCAATTCCTCCGATATATCAATGTCAATACTTGTTTCCGGAAACCACGTGTCGTCACCGTGTGCCCATCGCCGAGCGAAACATCTCGAAAACGAGGAGACACGGGGTAAATGTGGCACGACCCTTAAACGAATTGAACCCCTGATTAACCCAATCGGCCTTTTAAACGATCAAGCTTCGTTCTTTTGTCTAATTCTGGCGGTAAACAAGCGGCCGATTTGTCGTGTAGGCGATCACGCGACTGCGCGAGTCATCGCGCGCTCTGAGGCGCCGTCATTTATGACCGACACGCAGTTGTTCAGTATTGCGCCAACAGTCGCGCTGTGAACGTGCGTGTGGGATGTCGTTTGTCCTCTTGATGCGCCGAGCGTTGCTTTTTATCAGTTAATCGAACGCGGCAAATCGATTAAACTCTTGTCACACGTGTTGTAAGAAATGTCTACGTTGCGGTATCCAAGTTACACCGTAAACTCGAGATTAAGTTTGGAAAAGGGGGAAATGTAAGGGGAATCGTTAAATTTTCCATCCCCCGGTTATCGTTCCTCGAATTCGAATCGTGCAAAGACACGGTCATAGACGAGTGTGTAGTTTTATGTAATGTGTGACCTAGAAAAAGCACTACTGACCGGTTCTGGAGCGATTAGATAAGAGGGGAATACAGAAAAGCTGGAATTGTATGGTGGTATATGAAATACCGCGAAACGGCCACTGGGAAATCTGACGTTTCATTGATACGTATATACAAGCTTCTATTATGCGATGTACATTCCATTTGCACGAGGTGAATAAAGCGAGAAGTGTATAAATACATATATATATATATATATATATATATATATAACGGATATATATACATATATATATAACGGTTTCACGCGCGTAAACGCGGTACAATGTGTTTTTAACCGTTTGATGGGATTCCTCGAGCAAAGCTAAATTGTGGAGTTTCGTTTCTACGTGATGAAGTAAGTATCATGGCAAGACGATTTAATTCATTCAAATATAGCTACTTCTTGTTTTAAAGCGGGAAGAGCTCGACCACGTTGCGAGTCGTTTATATCGGAAACTATATCTTACAATAGATTGTAAGCGAATGAAAGATAATTCTGTATTTATAGAACTATACTTTGGATTCATTGTTCGAGCACGAAAAGTTAACGAGAATTTATGGCTCGCGAATTAATCTATTAGACCACGATTCTTAATCATCAAACGACACTCTCGTCCCTCTTGGTTCTCGTGATTTCATCCACGTTCATTTTGGTTGCGCAAAGTATGCGCAAAGCGGTATGCGATTGTGTTATTCCCTCTAACGTTGAGCCGTTTAGCCGTAAACAGAACAAGTTCACAGGCGGATTGCAAAACAAAGCGTTATCATAACATGAATTCCATCCGTTTCGCAGATGATCGATAAGATTTCGCGTCGACAACAAGTCGATGAACAATGCACCAAGCTTTGTTTCTTACATCGTTCAAGACAAAGATATTTTGAAAGTTAGCGTGAATCGTCTCTATCTCTCGCGCGAGCAAATATTTTCGTCCATTACCCGTGACGTAGTAGAATCCACGGAGATAGATCGTTTCCAATGTGTTTCCATTTTTTTTTTTCGCGGAATACTTTTTATACCTATGTATCTCTAAATCTCGGTTCAAAGCTCATCTTTCTATTATGAAAATACAATTAACTTTCCGGTTCTCAGGAAATCGTTCGTCGAAGAATAAGAAAGGGAAAAAAAAAAAAAAGAAAAAAAAAAGGAAGAAGAAGAAGAAGAAGAAGAAGAAGAAAAACGTGAGAACGTTGGAAGGAATAAATAATAATTAAAGATGGAAAGAGAAAAAAAGGATCGTTTCACGGTTACACTTTCACATTGGGTTCGGCCCAAGCAGCTCGTTTAACCGTAAAAATGAGCCGTATTTTTCGGTTGACGACTTCCTACCGGGTAATGCGGACTCGTTGTGTCGCGAATAATAAATTATATATTCCCCGTCTGGGAATCGGTCATTACTTTTTCTTACCTTCTATCAATCTCGCGACCTTGCCACGACTGTACCTCCCCTCTTCTTTCACGAGGTTTCTCGGCCGGCTCTCCGGCTCTACTTGGGAAACAACCGACCTTGCCTATCATAGTCATTGTCACGGTGCACCGCTACGATACGAATCAAGTTGCAATAGTGCATTGAATGATTTGCAAAAAACTTGTTTGCTCGCGAGCCAATTGCACACCACGTCGTGTGCGTCGTTTTGTTTGCAATTATCATAAAGAAATCTTGGGACTTGTCGTTGATATCGAGTCTTGTCGCTCTAATGGCCGCCACGCTTCTTTCTTTCTTTCCTTCTTTCTTTCTTTCTTTTTTTTTTTTTTCAATTACCGTTAAACCGGTTGTCTCGTCTCGTTCTTTTTTGGTTTTATTTGCGATATTCGTTTCTTCGTTATTGCTCGATAATTATTAATTGTTTCATTGACCGATCCCCTCGATATCGTTAAGGACTGGTTAGATAAGATTTATTCTAACGATACTTAATTCGATAGTTATGTAAGTTCTCTCGCAATATTTACAAAACAACTCACGAATATAAGAGTCACGAATACTTTTTATATCTGTACCGGATTGTGTGTTCTCCAGTTTGTTTTGACGTTACATTACATCTCTTCGCGAAGATTCGTATGATAAGTTTTGGTAGATCTTTGTCCAAAAAGTTTTCACGATTCGTCGATTTCGTCGATTTGGAATTTTGTTGGAAAATAATCTTGATGCTAGTTTTGCCAGGCACAATATCAGCATGTTTTCAAGTCGCTAAGGCCGAAGGATGTTGCAATATAGGGGATTTATTGATTACGATATCAATGGATTCGCGGAATTTTGATGAATCATTTTTCGAAAGAACGATTTATAGCTGGAACTAAGTTTCTGTCCGCAAAGATTACGATCTTTCCTATTTCTCGTGAAAAATAGATTTTTATCTCAATTTATAAGGAAAAGAAAAATTTTCCGTTTAAAATTAATTTTCCAATTTACATCGATTGACGAGCTCGAGCGAATTATCCTATATTTCCTGGCTATTATATCTTCTCATTGAATAACAAATGCAATTGGATCGTCATGTAGCTTTTCAAGTCCAAGAAGTCAGGGTCTCCGTCACACCATTGCATCGCAAAGATAAAATCGAATCTGGGTCGCAAGACTGTGCGGTGCCTCTATCGGAAACGACAAATAGAAAAGTCTTGTTCGTTCTATCGGATCTGTTCCTGTACGAAAATTCCG